ACAGGTTTGAAAAGGACTCACATATTTTTCACATTCAAGCCAGTCACACCAAATGCCTTGAGGTATTCTTATCAACTCCCTGAGAAAGTCACATGTCAATGTCAGGCTTGGGTTTAGGAGTGTGACTTTCATTGTCTGCTGCCCTTACAACAGATAAATTAGAAGATCACCTCCTCATCCTGAGTGTGACCACCTCCATGTAAGGAAATGAAAGCAAAAACAGAAATGCAACTCTCCAAAGATGCAAAGGACATGAACAGATCCCTCCTGAATTTTATTAGGCAATCAGACTAAGATTTGGTAGGTGAGTGATTCTCAAAGAGTGGTACCTAGAACTGGCACTATCAGCCTTACCTGGAAACACGTTAGAAATGCATTTTTTTTTTTTTTGGTACCAGGGATCGAACTTGGGTCCTTGTGCTTACAAGGCAAGCAACGGAACCACTGAGCTAAATCCCTGGCCTAGAAATGCATATTAACGGGACCCACCCTAGATCTACCAAATCAGAAACTCTGGTGTTAGGGTCCAGCAACACACAGATTTTTTAAAGAAGTCTACCTACTTTTTCAATTGCTGGACAACTTTATTGAGATGTAACTAACACACCATACAATTTATCCATTAAAGTACACAATTCAGTGGGTTTTTAGTATATTTACAGATTTGTGCAAACATCAATTCAAACAATTTTAAAAATATTTTCATCTCCTCAAAAATAAACTCTGTACCCTTCAATTATTACTTTCTATCCCCACCCACCCCCAACTCTCAGCCTTATGCCACCATTACCTACCTTCTGCTCTGTAGGTTTGTCAATTTCATATAAGTGGAGATATACACTAAGGGCCTATTGTGTTTAGCTTTTTTCACTGAGCATGTTTTTTTCAGGATTCATCCATGTTGCAGCATGTATCAATATTTCATTCCTTGTTATATGCAAATAGTGTATTATTTGGATATTCTGTTATTTGGATATGCTATACTTTATTTGTTCGTGAGTTAATGGATATATGGGCTGTTGCTACTGTTTGACAGGAGTTCTGCTGCTGTAAACATTTCTTCGTAATATGCATTCACACAAGTTCTTCAGGCTTTCCCAGTCCATGCTACAGTTTGAGAGTCTTTATTATACATGGGGCAGGGGGAAGGAAATAGTAGGAGGTAGTTCCTTCTAATAAGTAGAGATCATCACTTAGGTGATAAGTCAAGGTAGAAAAGGAAGAACCGAGGCAGTGGAATCTGATCATGGTGCATGGACAGATGATGATATTGTTGTAGAGATGTGGGCAAGACTGGCTTGAGGTGGCTGAGGAAAGAAAGACCTAGTTGTAATGAAGTGCTCACTTTTTGACTACTACACACTCTTACTAATTTATAAGCATGTCATTGTGTTCTGAAGGTCATCTGGGCCACACCACATTTCTGTAGTTCTTGAAGCATCCAAAGCCTTTGTGACTGTATGCTATCCTCTTGTCTTGTGTGCCGGAGATCGAACTCAGGACCTCATGCTTGTGAGGCAGGCAGTAGCACCACAGAGATAAATCCCCAGCCTTGTTATCTTTACTCTTATATTTGCATTGTCCTTTAGTACAACTGAATGTCTCCATTTTACAGATAAGGCCACTGAAGCGTAATCACCACTAAAACTCGTGCTGAAATTTAATCCCCATTGTGAGGCAGTAAATAAGACCTTTAAGAGGAGACCAAATGAGATCTTTAATGGACCAAATGAAACCTTTAAGAGATTAGGTCATGAACACTCAGGTCTTGTAATGGGTTTATCAGTTCGTGGGTTAATGGACTGGTGAATTCATAGGTTAAGAGTGGCTTTCTTATAAAGGTCAGGTAGGCCTGTTCTTTGCTGCACTCCCTTACTGTGGGACGCTCTGTACTGCCTCCAGATGCCACAGAGTCCTCACCCAGCAAGAAGACCCTCACTAGATGTGGCCCCTTATACTTAGGTGTGCAAAACTGTGAATTGATGAGCTTATATTTTTTTATGGATTACCTGGTCTGTGGCTTTCAGTTTCAGCAACAGAAAATGAGGTAAAACAATGAGGTTAAATGATCTGCCCAAAGTCATGGAATAGGATGTGATAAAACTGGGAAAATTGGGGTCAGGGGAAAAAGTGTGATGGGGTGTGTGTGAAAATGATCTAATTTTGTAATGGACATACAGAATCTGCCAAAATAAAACTCAGTAATCTGTATAATGCACAAATAAAAAAAATTGTGAAACAAAAATAAAGAATTGGAAAAATGGGGCTCAGAATCAGTTCACCTACCTCTAACCTCACTACTCTAGTGATTCTTTATCCTAGCTCTACATTAAAGCCATCAGAAGGGCTTTAAAAATGTGAAAGTGTGGGCTCCGTAGTCAGAAATTTGAATTAATTGATCTGGGCTAGAGTCCAGGTATTAATTTTTTATAGGCTTCCTGGGTGATTTTCCCCTTTATTACTTTTATCTTAACTTTTCATTTTGAAATACTTTCAGATTTTAAAAAAAGATGCAAAATAGTACAAAGCTGTCCTGTGTGTCCTTCCCTCAGCTTTCCCAAAAGGTAGCATCTTAGATAACCACAGTAACTTCATCAAAGCCAGACCATTAACATTGATATAATAGTGTTTACTAATCTACAGATATTATTTAAACTGATCAATCATAATTGATGAGTCATTCGGGATAATTATGAATATTTCTAGAATATTTATTGCTTTTCATTGTTTCATCTCCTTATTGGGCTTTAATCTTTCCTGGGTGAATTCAATGTGCATCAAGTACTGAGAGTTGCTGGGCTGGACAGTGGAATCCTGGAGTTATTATTCTATATGCAGACTTAACTGGCTATGTGGTGCATTTTTTTCCCCTCCATTCTCTGACTCGTAAAAGCTATGTTTGAAAATCTGGTATATTTCTAAGCTATTGTTAGGCTGCCGAGAGGATGATTCATTTGAAGATTTCTGACTATTTTTATGAAGTGTCAGTTTTATCTGCTAGGAGGAGAAATGAGAACCTAGTTATATTCATAGCAAGGTTACTTAGTGACAACCAGGTGAAAATGGAAAATGTTGCATGGCGGGGAAGAGTTAAAGAGCTTTCAAATATTAGCTCACATTTCATTGGACTAGGTCTTTGCTGAATAGAATGGTATTCTTTGGATGTGAAAGTCTTGAATGCAATTTAGATTTTAATTAGAGATGTGATGGACCTTAATGTAGAAGCATTTATATGGAGAGGGCAGAGATGCTAAACTGAAAACTATGCATTTCCTACAGATGGTTTATTCAATTACAGCATGTCTCTTAACCTCTGGTCTTAACCCTGCCATTGCAAAGATGAATCATTGAAACCTTGCCCTGTCTGTTACCCTGAATGACTAGCTGAGCACTCCGGTTGGATGCATCTCCCAGCAACATGTTAAGCTGGGTAGTGCATAAGGACTTTAATTTTTATTTTCTCCTTTGTTGAGCTACCTTCATCCAATTAGAATTTTCATCCTCGTCTATTTATTATGCACTATTCTGGGTAAAAACAGACCTGAGTGTCTCTGGTGTGTGCAAATTAGCATGGCTCTGAAGGCCACAGGGCTGAACAGAAGCTATCCTCAATTGAGTAAAAATGTTATTAAATTTATAACTGGATCCCCATCATCAGCATTGGATTCCTTTAGGCCACAGATGTTCACTGTCAGAAAGTACTTCCTTTGTGAGGCACCACCTTGGAAGCATTTTAACCAACAGCATCACATGTGTGTTTATATTAGAAATCCATATGTACAGACACATGGATGGCCTTTAGCTTCACAGAGAAAACAGCTGGCTTTCATGATATTAGGCAGCTTGTGGCTTCATGGGTCCCCAAACCAGGATTTCCATCCCTCTGTGCTTTGGAACATGCAGCCCCCCTGCCTAGATCACTCTTTTCTCCCACCTAGCCTCTTCTTCTGTCTCACTGCTGCCACCTCCACTTGTAAGTTTTCCCCAATTTCCTCTTCCAACCTAAATTGGAAATTCTTTTTATATATTTGCACAGTACTCAGTATTTATATGTACTGTAATGTAACTGTTATGATTTGGATATACAATATTCCCAAAAGACCTCATGTGGTTAGAGATGGGGCTTTTGGAAAGTGATTTTATCATGGGGGACTGGTCCACCATGGGTTCGTAGCTAATCTGCTATATGGAGGTGGGGCCTGGTTGGAGGAGGCAGGTCACTAGGAGCATGTGACTTGGAAGGTTACATTTCCCTCCCCCGCTCCCTGTTTCTCTTGCTCCTTCCTGTCAGCCATGATGTGAGTAGTTTTCTTCTGTGCCAGCCCATTCTACCATGATGTTTCTACATTTGAGCCAGACAACTATGGACTGAAACTGTGAGTCAAAATAAACCTGTCCTCCTTTAAGTTGTAGGTGTCAGGTATTATGTCTTAGTCATGGCAGCAGTGACTTAGACAATGAGTAATCGTTTACTTGTCTGATTTGTCCATATTCTAGCACCTAGCCCAGTGCCCAACACATAGAAGGTATGGTTGTATTGGAGTGGATGAATGATTAATGAGGGCTATTCAGCCTAACTGTTGCATCTGTTATCTTCTTCTATCCAGGCAACTATTCTGAAAGGAGGGAGTTATTTCCCCAGTTTTATGGATAAAGAATCAGGATGAGAGTTTAAGGGACTTGTTTTCACATCACCAAGAGCCAGAATGTGAACCTGGCCTCCTGAATTCCAAAGCTCAGCTTCTTCATCAGCTTGGCACTGCTTCAGGTGGTCAGTGCAGATGAATGAGCTGCTAATGACTAACCACAGTGGGATGGATGGTCTCCACACAGGTGCTGACCTGTGGGACTCTGAGGGCTTTGCTTACAGGCCTTGTTCACCTTGAGAAGCTTTAATGGCTGATAGACAATGTCCTCAGCCCTGGGAAGATGGTGCACCTTCCTTAATGATGCCATGGACACTGTTTGAGTAATCTGAGGTTATTCACAGGGACCAGGCAATGGTACTGTGTCTCAAGCCTCAGAACTACATGCAGCCTGGCCTCTTGCCATGTACTGAGATGTACAGTGGACAGTCTGGTTAGTCAGGAAAGACTCTGAGTCACCATACATGAATGACTCCATAATCTTTACAACCAACACTTTTTTTCAAAAGCCCTGGTAAACACAAGGGGAGGCCCACTCAGCCCCAGCCTTCTGGACGGAAGGGTCAATGGCTGCTCTATCAAAGGAGGAGCAAAGGGCTGAGGAAGAGGAGGAGGACTGGGTCTCAGGTTGCCCCTCCAAGAGCAAGCATTCCTATAGGGACAAAACCCCTGCAAGTCCCAATGTCTGCTGCCTACACAGAAGCCTTGCTAGCCAGCTCTTCAGGTGAGTCATGTTCAGATCCAGCCTCCTCCCAGGCACACAGCTGCAGAGGTTCTGGAAGATGGCACAGGGGACAGGTGAGGAGAGGGATCTCTTTGTATCTGGAGGTTCCCTGTGGGAATCTGCTCTTGCTTCCTCTCTTTTCAGATGAATAGACAATTCAGTATGGAAATAGTCCAGGCATTTTTAATGTTTCAAAGACTCAAGGTCAGGATTTCTCATTTGGGGAAGGCCCTGGTTTCCTTTAAACTCACCTCCTCAGTCTCATGTCTTCTACATCTGACAAACAGTCTCTGTGTGGGGGTGCAGGCTTTAACATGGGCTGTCTGAGCTCTTCAAATTTCCTTTCTTCTCCTCCCTCTTAGACTATTAATCCTTATACATGTTGGCCTTTCTGGCACCTTCTAAGTAAGAAAACCCTCTCACCTCCCACCTCTTTGTATTTCTTTCTGTTCCCTCATGCTTCCCAGCCCCAGTGGACCAGACCAAGGCAAGTCCTACCTTGAGGCCCACAAGCTCCAGCTTGGCTGATATTGGAGAGGAAAAAAAAAATGAGCTACTTCAATAAAAGGCCATTTCAGGGAAGTTTAAATTAGGAGCCACAAAATTGTGACCATGAAGCTGACAGTGGTGGCCCAAGCCAGGAGTTTGTGTGGTGGTGTGGAGAAGTAAGTAGCTGCAGCAGGGCATGTGTAAGCTAGTATTGTGAGGAACCAGCAGCACATTCAGGCTACATGTAGAGATGTGACAGTGGTCTGCTTTATTTTCTACAGAATCGTGTCTTATCTGAAGTTCCACACTATAAGAAACATATTTTCCCTTTTTATTTTTTCTTTCTACTCTAAAAATATTAGAATTTCTACCTCCATGGGACATCCATGTTTCTCTGACACTTGTGACAATCCAGAGTGTTAACTGAAAGCCCATCTCCTTTCAATAGTGTGTGCCCCTGGCTGAGAAGATACCTTTCGACATCATTGAGATAACTCTGAGGTCTGCTGGAAAGGCTTCTTCTGGCAGCTCCATGTAATGCTCTTCTTTTTTTTTTGGTACTGAGGATCAAACTTGGGTCCTTGCGATTGTGAGGCAGGCAGTGGAACCACTGAGCTAAATCCCAGGCCCATGTAATGCTCTTCTTTGTGGTGTAGCTGTGAGTATAAGGGCAGGAGGAGGCCTGGCTGCTTTCAACTTGAAAGCAAGGAAATGAGGGCTATAAGGTGAGCATATTCCATGCTTTCTGTATGTTGTGGCTCTTCCTCTCCACCTGCAAAATAACAACCACTCTAAGATCTTAAGGATGGCTTCAGGGGAACCTAAGGAATTGGGCAGAAATGTTAAGAACCTGTGGGTCCAAAATTAAGAGAGGACTAGGAAGGGAAAGATGAGAAGATTCCAAGAGTAAACTTAATATTCAAAACTGTGATTTCCGGGCTTCAGAATGATTGCAGTTTAGGCTGTTTAAAGAATAAATGCAAACACAGAAAAGCTTCAGTAATGTGTTGTAAATGAGGAGATCCATTAGCATTATAGGGTGTTAGATGAAGTTGTTCTGATCCAACTTTGTGTCTATGTGAGCAACTTCAGAAAAAAAAAAAAAAAGAGAAAAGCCAGTAAAGGATATCACCAAGGGGAGCCCCTGTGTTTGGACAGACACAATTGCTCCATTGCTTCATGGGAGGCAAATGCATGGGTATGCTGTGAGATTAAGCCACGGAAGTAGTTTAGGACTTTGTTTCTACCCTGCCATTAAATCTTTGCAGAAATCTGGGAGAAGTCCCCCACGGAATTTGTATATATTTTCTACCTCTATGTGGGAGAGTTATTGAGTTCTCAGAAAATGGAAATCAGCCTTATTCAAAGTCTCAAGAAGCTGCCTTAAGAAAAAAATAACAGAAATTATAGAGTTTTCTTACCTTACAAATCTTTATTCTCTATCTGGGACAGGGAGCTGCGTTAGTGGAATTGCTGCCTGGACCCCTGGGAGCAGGGAGACCCAGAATCTGCTGAAGGAAATGCTGTGACTTCAAGTGCATCACAAAATACATAGGGTGAAGTGTATTGGGAGGGTGTCCCCAATATACACAGCACATTATAGTGTAGCAAGAATTAGAAAACCAACTTGCTTTAAATAGGTCTACTGGTTCCAAGGACAAGTTGGCAAGATATAGCAAAAGCTGCTTTTACCCAGCAATTCTACTTTCTGAAATTTATGCTAAGGAAATAAGAAAGACATGAAAGGATCTTCATCTCAGGCTTGTTTATAATTTTAAAAGGAAAAAAACTGAAAGAGATCAGAAGACCAGAAAGCCTATAAAGACCAGGCTGGGAAGGTTTCTGCTAGGAAGAAGGACTGCATTGGCTGTTGGACACCAGATGATGTGTGTTATGACTTGGCAGAAAGTTTGTCTGCATTTTGTTCATATCCAGAGACTTTGCCTGAGACTGAGATTAAGGGTGGTGGACTAATCAATCTTGCAGAAGAAATTTCAAGGCAGTCGAATATTGAGGCAGTGGCATGGCTACTGTTGAGGGCTTTTAGCCAGATCTATGTGGAGAATCAAGAGCAAAGAGACCAGAAGAATGATTTAAAACATTTTAAGTTGGGCCAGAAAGGAAGCTTCAGTAAAGCTGTGGACTGCAAAGATAGAGCAGAGCAGATCTTGATTACTGAGAAGGAACAGGAAAATAGAAAAGATGGTTTGAGAGCATCACAGGAAAAAGCAGGACTTCATACTTTGCAGCCTCAGAGTTATAAAGGTGAAGGAATTTGCTTTGAGAAAAAAGCCCTAGAGAACCAGGTTCCAAAATGGTGACACCCACACCATGTTCCAGAATGGTGGTGGCCTAGGGAAGCTGTTCCAAAATGGTGGCAGCCTAGAGAATTTGTTCCTCGAGATGGGGTTCAGATTACTCAGCAATCCAGGCACTTGACCCCTACAGCCAAGAGAGGGAAGACTGGCTACTACTGCTCCAGCTGGCAGCAGACCTTGGCATCATCCACATGGCACTGGTTTTAGGTGCATGCAGAATGCAAGAGTTGTGGGGTTAGGAAGGCTTCCACCCAGATTTTGGAAGAAGGCCTGGGAGGCCAGGCAGGGTGCCCCTGAGAGGGCAATGTGTGAAACCATGAGTGTGAAGCCAAAGGTGCGTTGGAGACCCCAGAAGTTTGGAGAAGTCAGGAGCATGGATTGTCCTAGGAAAGCTGCAAGGAGGGAGCAGAGCTGGCCCAAGAGAGTAGCCATGAGAGCTACAAACACCAAAAATATTATAGGGGTGGAGCCACACAAGCCCTTTGGAGTTCACAACTTGCCGCAGATTACTGGGGATGCTGGAAATGGAACCATGGGATTTAATGTTTCCCCTACTGGATTTTGGACTTACTTTGGTCTCTTTCCTTTATATATTCCTGTTTATACCTTTTGGAATGGTAATGTCTATCTTGTGTCATTGAATGTTGGAAATGTTTGACTTTTCATTTGTACAGGGGTCTGCAGTTAAGAGTTTGCCTTAAATCTCAGAGGAGACTTTGGACTTTGGCTTTTCAGCAATGCTAAATGGTTTGGACTTTGGCAACTCTTAGAGATGGACTAAATGCCTATTGTGTAAAGGAATGAACATGAGTCTTTGAGGGGGCCAGGGGCAGAATGTTATGGTTTGGGTTTAGATGTCCCCCCAAAGCCTCATGTGGCCATAGGCTTGATCTAGAGTGTGTAAAGCTGGAATTGATTCATGGTGCAATGCTAGGCTCAAGGGCACGAGGATTAAGGGTGTGAGTGCTACCCACCCTAAGTAGTCTAAATAAGATAAAAAGGGCAGGGAGATGCTGTTAACTCTCTTGTTACCATTGCTGCCTTCTGTGTGCCATGTTGTTTCTGCTCTTCCATGCCTGTTTATCTCCTTGCCTTGGAGTTGGCTGATTATGGACTGAAACGTCTATGAACTATAAGCCAAATAAACCCCTTCCCATTAAAAAAAAAAAGAACTGGAAATAAACCTCAGTCATTTGTAGGAAAATAGATGTACCTAGAGACCATAATGTTAAGTGAAATTAATCAGACACATAAGCTTAAATATCTTATGGTTTATCTCATATGAGAAACTCAAAATATAAATAAAGAAAAAAATGTAAGATAGATAATAGAAAGGACGAGTTAGGTCTTTCTCAAAAGGGAAGGGAATCAAGAGATGGAGGGAGGGGGAGGAATAGGAGGGGAAAGGGATGAAAAAATGATTAAGATGTGTTATGTACATGTACCAACTCCCCATAAAGAATGTAATCATCATGTATTTCAAATACTAATAAAAATAAAATATATTACAAAATAATGGAAACAACATACAATTCCAACAGTTGGAGAGTGGATGAATAAATTATGCTAGATCAAATAGAATACTATGCATCCACTAAAAATTCAATTGTCAAAATCTTTTTGTTTGTGTGGTGCTGGGGCTTGAACACAAGATCTCACTGAGCTATATCCTGAGCCCTTTTTAAGATTTTTAAAAAATTTTGAGACAGGGTCTCTCTAAGTTGTTAAGTTGTCCAGTTTGGGCTCAAATTTACCATCCTTCTGCTGGGATTACAGACTTGTGACCATTTTACATGCCTGGATTTATAAAAATTTATTTCTTGAGATGAAAAGATGTTTGTGATATTACTGTGTCATAAGGCCACAGATATAATAATGCAGAATGGGCCCTTAAATATTTGTGTATTTTGATGAGATTATGAACCATTTTTCTTTCCTTCTGGTCTGTATTTTATAACTTTTCTCATATACACACACACACACACACACACACACACACACACACATATATATGTATATAATTCTTTCCTTTTAAGAAGAGAAGATAACCAAACTGCCTGGTGACTATTTGTGAAGAGCAAGAAGCTTTGTGACATTTCCTGGTATCATGGAAGAACAGCTGGATGAAGGGGTAGGAAGCAGAAGCAGAGAGTTCCTGGGTTAGAAGAGTGGGCAGAAGGGAGGGAGGGGGTC